AAGTCATGCTACAAGACCTAGCATTGTTTGCTAGCGTTAGGTCCTGTGTACATTAAGATGGAACAGTGTTTTAATTATGGTTGGGAACTGCTATGTTTACAGCTCAGATTAGGCTTTTCTGCACAGAAGTAATCTGAAAGTTTCATTTGATGTTCCATTCATAGGAGAGTGTTCATTATCATGGAACTCTTACAGAAACCTACATCAGCCTTTTTCTAGAAAACTTAGTCACAAAGTAATGTTTGAATTAAACTAGAATGAAGGCTTAACACATAGGGAGGGAATATTGGAGTCCATTAATGTTAGTGTCCTCTGAGAGGAAAGTGTCCACTTTGACACCAGGAGTCACATCAAGCTAGGTTTGTATGGGAGGAGTCCCTACAGCATTTAGTTAAGGACAATTATTTCAATAGTAATGAGTCCCACACACTGAAAGACATGCTTAATGTGGACTATATACAAGCCTTGTTCTAGCTAGAATTCAGGTTAGTGCACTTAAAAGCACAGAATTTCAGCTTCATATTTTAGAAGATTTACAGGTTTGTTACACTTGCTGTAACTTGTCTCAGGCTGTTAGAGAACTGTTGAGCTTCCAGCAGCTTCCCAGGGTTGCCATTAGAAGTGTTAATTATTCAGTAGTACTAGGTAAGTCATCCTAGAACAAAAAGACTAAGAACTATGCTTACATTGGTGTCCCTCACCTGGGAAGAGCTTGAGACCACTGAAGGCCCAACATTTTACACCTGTTGTACATCAGCAGCTGGACCTTCACATGGAAAAGCCCCATTTACGATGGGTAGTTTGTGTAACAGAGATTCCTCCTTATACACAGAGATTTAATGGGAAAGCTGGACTAGCTAGTTTCCTTATAAGACATTAGCTGACATGCAGCTCAGAATGATCTCACCTTTGAAATGGTTTTCAACACTGAATACAAAGCAAAGCCAGGCTCATTGCCAGCCCCTACCAGTCTTTTGCTAGCTTCCACTGTAGCATTCAGCATGTCTGTACCGGAGACCCAATCAAAACTAGCTATCCATCTTTAGAAGCCATGGTTTTTAGACAATGGACATTGCTAATGCAGTTTCCCCTAACTAGGCTGGGGAGAGCTTGCACCATGCCCTCCTGGAGCCACAGCTATAGATTTGCTAAGGTTCTATGAAGCGTATTACACTGTAAGGATACACTGTTCATGCAGCAGTTCTAAAGATTAGTAGCCACGTGGCGATGTTAACCAGCTAAAATATCATAGGCTACCAACTTCATTGAAATAACCCAAACAACCCTGGATGACCACAACCCATGCATGCGGGACAGGAACACCACAGCTGTGATCATGTGCTCTATCAGAGGGGAGTCTTTTCCCAAATGTGTGGCCAGGCAAAGCAGAGCAAAGGCCATGCAGTAACATGAAGCACAGTCTCAGAAAGCCAATGGGGAGATGGACCCATCCTGGGTTCTTGAGCCATGTACAGACATGTCCATTCCTACAGCAAGAGACAGTTACTGCCCAAGTCCCCTTAAGCAATGCCAGGAACAGTCTTCTACTTCTGCAGAGCTTAGGAACCCAGGAAGGTACCAATCTCCATAGTCCCCCTAAGTTTCAGGCCCTTCTCACTTTCCACCCCATCACTTCAGAGAGTGAGCAGGGAAGGTTGTGCTCATATTTTACTGTCCTGAATAAACCACGGCCTCCTCCAAGGACAGCGGAAAACTCCCTGCTCTCCCCTTGTGGGCAGAGCTCAAAAAAAAAAGCAGGCAACATACCAACAGGACAAGCTGAGGAACAGGAAATGAATTTCTGTGGCTTCATGCAGCAACATGGCAAGGAGACAAGTTGTCAAGCAGTTTGCATGGCTGCACAGTTGTATCAGGTGAACAACAAGCATGTTTCACAACCCACTCCTCAGACTAGCGGGTGAGGGAACTAGCTAGAACACTGCTAGCAACAAGCATGTCGGATGGGATCCCAAGCGGGCAGAGGCCTACACAGCAACGCTGTGCTTTCTACACCCATTACCTGAGGTAATCTTATCAAATCAGTAAACTTCATCTTCTGAGTCAAGGGCAGCTTGAGAGGAAAGCCAGCTTTGATCTGTGGTTCTAAGCAGCATTAATTTAAACAGAATAAATGCAAGCATGGGCCAACAGTTACAAGGGAAGTTATTTAGGTACTGAGTCACCAATGTGTTGCCTGAGGCTTTTTGCTTAATTTATTCATTGATTCTGCCTATTGGTGAATTGTCTTTAAACGCTGAGTGTCTTCTAGTTTAGAGTATTCCTGTTATCAGGTTAATGCTAGATGTCTATGATCTGCAGATATGCATAAACAGATAAGGGCCTGGTGGTAAGGGAGAACCTACGCCAACAACGGTGGCCCAAAAGCTGGATAGACCCCAACTGTACTTTGTCTGACAGTAAAAGTGCTGTTAAGAGGTGTCATGCCGGTCACTTCTACCAGGCCATCTCTGCCAGGACAGGATTGGTTATTCCCAGGAATAAAGTGCAGTGTTTTAGTTTCCAAAGTTTGGGCCCATCCACTGTTCTGAGGCCTAATACAGATATTAGATTTCTAGAGTTCAAGTCACATAAGTTAACGGATATGAAGCAGCAGCAGCTGGACTACAGAGATTGTCCCTATCTAAATTTGAAAAAGCTCCTGGGGTCTCTTCACCACCACCTTTTGTTTTTGATTGCTAATGATAATCAAGAGAACTCTGTAGTACTTTGCCTGTACATAAGTGTACTCTGATTTCTCCTACCCTGAAGGGCTTTCAAACACCCATTTCACGATTTCTGTAGCACCCCCTTACTGTAGATTTCCCTTCCCTTTCTGGATTTATTTATTATTAATATTATTATTTCTGGAACATTTGAAATTCAACCAGGGAGGGACAGTTTGGTTTTCAGGACAGGCCATTTAGCTAAGGACACTGCTCTGTCCTGGTAGGGAAAGTTACACTTTCCTTCCCCTCATGGCATATCCAAGGGGAGGAACAGACTACACAAATAGTGCAGATTCAGATACCGTGTGTTTATAGGATGGGAGAAAGTGGGCACTACATAGGCTTGGTCATGCTCAATAAATAATGCACTTGTTCACACAAGTCATACAAGGCATAATTGACTACGTATGCGCCTGGGAGCCGGGTATTGCTTAATTCTAGTCCTATCTCTGCCACTAACTCGCTGTGTCACCTCGAGTGACTTTTATGAAGTGGGTACACATGCCTGAGAGGTGGATTTTATGGATTAGTGAGTGTTTACAATCACTTTAATGAAAGGAGTCAGTGCTTTTCCATTTCATTCAAGTTAGACCAACAGAGTGTACTATGGAATGGCTTATGCAATCATCACAGGCGCAAAACTTAACTTTTTAAAACTGCTTTGTATGACTATTTTGCCAACTAGAGACTGAACAGCACTGAAGTGAACTTGCTATTCAGTGCTGACATCTGGTGGCTACAATGGGTAGCCATCTGAAGGAGAACCTAAGTGGCTACACCAATCCACTCAAATTTGGAGCCCACTTTGAAAATCTTTTTAAGGCTGTAGTGAGGTTTTTTGGGAAGATTTAAAAAAATTCTTTGACCGCCAAATAAAGCTTTGACTGGGGTAGTAAGGAGAGTGTTGACTTGGAGAGCCTAGTTAAAACGGCTTCATTAATCCACCATTGGGAAGGCACATACTCGGTGCCCAGATAAATTGAAGATGATCTATATAGAGATTAGCACTATCAACTCAACGAAATAAACTCTACACTCACTGCTGTAGAAACCTGATTTAAGCCTTCTGCAGAAGCTGAAGTCAGCAAGGAACTACAGAAGGAGCGTTTACTATAACTAGGCCATTGACTGAAGCAGTGAGGATTAGGGAAAGTTTTTTTTTTTTTTTAAATAGGCATGTTAGCCACTAAGTATTTTATTTAAAATTAATGAGAAAGACACCCACGCAAGAAGGTCTAGGCATGGGAACAAGCCACAGCCACATGATTTTCTGTTTTAGCGCCACAGCATGAGCACAAGGACACGACAGAAAGACTTGATTTGGGAGCACTCTTGAACGTTTTCCCACCGGCACGCTAGCTGTAAGTGGCCATTTCAGAGCAAGGATCTAAACTAGGTTATCGCTTAGCCCAGCCCATGGGAGCAGGGAGCGGAGCTTTCCCCCCCTCCGTTTGATTTTTAACTGGGCAGCTGCTTGAGGGGTCTGTTAACAAGGTCTCTCCTCGTGCGGGGAGCCTACAGCCGCCTACATCTGCTAGTCGAGCCCCACGCCCGGCGGCGGAGAGCGCACGGCTTAGCGCTCGGGGGCATTTTCGCCACCTCGGGACCAGCGGGAGCCTGTCACCGCCGCGGAACAGAGGCCAGAGCAAAGATCCAGCCAGCGGGAGGCGGGGCAGGACCCGGGGAGCGAAGGGCTCCGGCGCGGGCAGCTTCCAGCCAGGCGACGCGGGCGCAGGGGGCGGCTTTGAACGGAGCCCGGCGGGGCGGGCTGCAGCAGGCTCTGGAAGCCCTGGGTGTCAGCCAGCAGAGCGGGGCAGGGGAGGGTGCGGCGCGGCGCTAATAACCTGTTGAAAGGAGGCAGCGGTGTCAGACTCAGCAGCTCCTGCCAAGGCAGCCGGAGAGCGCTTCCTGCCAGCGCGGGACTGGGAGCCTCGCAACATATGGAGCCGCTTTGGGTAATTGAATGCAGGGGGTGAAGTGAAGCAAGCAGCCCTCCCCTCCCCCCCAGCCCGCTTCCAGGGGCCTGGAGCACCAAGAGCCCACCCCGCTCACAGCCTCTGCTCCCCCACCAAGCGCCAAAGCTGCGCCTGGCTCTGGCCCGGGGGGGGCTTCGGAGGGTGTAAAAGGGCTGACCCTCCCCAGAGGAGTTGGGGGAGAGATTGTCCAGCTCCTGTTGCTCCTCTGCACATCCATTCCCTTCCCCCCCGGCACAGCGATCGGGCACAACAAATAACCCCCCGCCCCCCCGGCCAGCATCCCAGGCCTCGGACTCACCGAGCACGCTGCCTGCAAGAAGAGGGCTAACAACCACACTGCCGACACGTTTATCATCCTCCCTCCTTGGCGGGCGCCGCTGCTCTGGAGCCTGGGCTGGGCGCTCCCGGGTTCTCCGCTTCACGTGCTCGCTCAGCCGCCCGCAGCTGCAAAGAGCCGACCTAGCCCAGCCCTGGCTTCTAATACGGCCAATGTAACAACCTTCACCTATCACCATCCACCGCCCTCTTCCGGAGCCCCGCCCCCTCCAGGCACCGCTCTCAGGGCGAGCACCGCCCACTCCTGCCACGCCCCTCCCCGCTCCCCGCTCCACCACCTTTAAGCAATCAGCGCTTAATCGCGCTTCCTCAAGGGCTGTTTCCTAACGAAATCACTGCCTCATCATTACCTGCATCACCTACGCAAGATCTTGCTCAACCCTCTAATTTCACACGTCCTTTTAGCTGCGGGCAATCGGCGTTTGCATTGTTCTCCCAGTTAGCCTGTTATTTCATTCCCAGCTTTACTTTGCATAAGAATAATTTCTCCCCCAAACATTTCATTCTCTAGATACAAAAACAAACACACCCAGTTTCTCAGACCTAATCTGGAAAATCCCAGCACGCTCCAGGACCCCCCCCCCCCATTTTTTCCCTTTTCTTTTTAAATGCTACACTAGGGAATATTTTTAAAAAGCTGACACATGGTAACAATAGGGAAGCAAAGCCTGAAACAACACACTAATGCAAGGGATGGAGGGAAAGTACCTGCGAAAGCCCTGTGCGGCTCAAAAGCTTGTCTCTCTCACCAACAGAAGTTAGTCTAATAAAATATTATTTCCTTCCTCCCTCTTAAAATGTGCATTTTGAATCTTGCATTTCCTGTTTAAGAACTTGGAAGTGAATTTAATCATCCTTTTACCATGTGTTGTTTTAATTTAATTATTTATTTTAGCCGCAATTCCCTCCCCCTCCCTTAGATCTAATTGTGAACAGTCATTATATATGGTCGCTCCCACATCATGTGATCGAATGATATTACAAACCTGCTGAACTGAAATCATTTTTTTTCCTCCTACGAAAACTGAGAGCCACTACTGCATTGTTTTTTACTAGTGAGACAATGGGTGAAGTAATCTCTTTTATTGGACTAACTTCTGCTGGTGAGAGAGCCAAGCTTTCCAGCTCACATAGAACTCTTCATTAAGTCATGTTTTTTATACAGTGCTCTTCAGAGGACTACCTGTTGCCTTTCACTGTTTGCCCAGGACAGTCTTCTCTTACCATCTTTTCATTAGGTAGTCTCATCAGTTTGATTTATTTTAAACTGTGCGGCTGCACTTTGTGTTTTTAATACATTTTAAAATTGTGCTTAAATAATAAAATCATACTAGATTTGTGACAAAAATGCCAGGTCAAAAACTATATTTAAAAAGTGGTCTGTGTAAGACGAGAACTGTACATTATTAAATATTAACTTTTAAATCAAATTTATTTTGTCACTAATTTTGCTGTTTGTATTTTTTTATTTTATTTTATTGCACTTTTCTGAGCTTGGACAGCTAAAATAAAGAAGGTTTGGTTCCAGCAAACAATCCTGCACATGGTTAATCTTACTATTTGTGTTTGCAGGACTGGAGCCTTAGTCAGTTTCAGTTTGTTTCTAGTCAATTTCCCTGTCACGTTTACTGCACCGGTTTACTGCACCGTATTGCAGAGTTTGGTCATAAACATAGCAAGGGAATGTTTATGTTTTCAAAGAGCCTATTTCCCATTTGATTTTTTTTTTTAACCATGACAATATTTCTACTGAATTAAGCTTTTGTAAAAGCTTGTTTTTCCAAAACCTACTACTGTGCTATGATGGTGTCTCTTTACAGAATACTTTTAACCTTCAGCTGAGCATCTTAAAGGAATTTACAAGTGTGGGGGGGGGGGAATATTCTGCTACCACTGAAGTTAACAAAACACTCACTGATTTCAAGGAGGGTAATTTGGTCCCACAACAACCACATTTTATATTACAGTAAGGTAAAGTGAAGCTAAATGAGATGGTAGGGCAATAGCACTGAGGAGGGGAATTCCTCACCCTTGCCATCCACAGTCCCCAGCATAGGAGGTGTGTACGAAGGGTAGCCAGAAAAAGGGGATGTGGAGGAAATATTGCTGTGATCTGGGGATCCCTGGCTGGAGAAATTACCCTTGCAGCCCTGGGCAGGTATCAAAGACTGGGGGAGGCTGAGCCTCCCCAAACAGCCCTCCATTACCCTGCCCACACACTGCCTCCAGACCCCCTCCTGCTTCCCACCGGTGCTCTGCGGCTCTTCCCTTGTGGCTGGGGCTGGGGCTAGTGGGGGCTGGCCTGCAGTCAGGGACTCCGGACGGCTGGAGCTGGCGTTCTGGGGCTAGAGGCCATGCCACCCGCCCACACGGTGCTCTGGGGGTGGGGGCTGCACCACCCACCCAGCACTCCGGAGTTTGGGGCTGCGCCACCCGCCTGCCTGGTGCTCTGGGGCTGGGGGCCGTGTGGGGGAGCTCTAGGCTTCAGCAGGGGAAGGGGGTGAGAGGGGTGGGGTGGGGCCTCAGGCAGAAGGGGTGGACTGGGCTGGGGGCTAGTCTCCCAGCCATGCCTGCAACAACTTAGATCAGCTCTGAGGTTGATTTTCAGAAAGGGATAAACAAATAACACACAAACTAAGGGTCACCCAATGAAATTAATAGGCAGCAAGTTTAAAACAATATAAAGAAGTACTTCTTCCCACAATCCACAGTCAACCTCTGGAACTTGCTGCCAGGGGATGTTATGAAGGCCAAAAGTATAACTGGGTTCAAAAAAGAACTGGATAAATTCATGGAGGATAGATCCATCAATGGCCATTACATAAGATAGTCAGGGACACAACTGCATGCACTGGGTGTCCCTAAACCTCTGACTGTCAGAAGCTGGGATTGGATAACAGGGGATGGATCATTTGATAATTTGCCTTATTCTGTTAATTCCCTCTGAAGCATCTGACATTGGCCACTGTTGGAAGACTGGATACTTGGCTAGACAGACCAGTGGTCTGACCCAATAGGTCCATTCTTAAAAGTATCCTGCTACAGAAAGAGAATCTGCTTCCACAACTGTCATCCAAAAGCTTAATAGACCCATGAGTATATTTCAGTGTTGCCGAAACTGAAAGTCTCACGTGACCTTCTCATAAGAGAACTAGAGAAAAATAGCTTAGACAAACCTACTATAAGGTGGGTGCAAAACTGGTTGGAAAAGCATACTCAGAGAGTAGTTATCAGTGGTTCACAACCAAGCTGGAAGGGCATATCAAGTGGGGTCCCCCAGGGATCTTTCCTTGTTTTGGTTCTGTTCAGTATCTTCATAAATGATTTGAATATGGCATAGAGAGTACACTTAAACTTTGTAGACAATACCAAGCTTGGAGGGCTTGTGAGCACTTCAGAGGACAGGATTAGAATTCAAAATGATCTTGACAAATTGGAGAAATGGTCTGAAATAAATAGGATGAAAATCAATAAGGACAGATGCAAAGTAGTACACTTAGGACAGAATAATCAATTGCACAAATACAAAAAGGGAAACAACTGCCTAGGAAGGAGTACTGCAGAAAAGGATTTGGGGGTTATAGTGGATCACAAACTAAATGTGAGTCAACAATGGAATACTGTTGCAAAAGAAGCAAACATCTGGGATATATTAGCAGGAGAGTTGTAAGCAAGACAGGAGAAGTAATTCTTCCATTCTACTCAGCACTGATAAGGGCTCAGCTGGAGTAGCGTCCCCGGTTTGGGGCACCGCACTTTGGGAAAGATGTGGACAAATTGGAGAAAGTCCAGAGGAGAGCAACGAAAATGATTAAAGGTCTAGTAAACATGACCTATTAGGGAAGATTGAAAAAAACTGGGTTTGTTTAATCTGGAGAAGAGAAGACTGAGGCGGGGACATGATAATAGTCTTTAAGTATGTAAAAGTTTTTTTATAAAGAGGAGAGTGATAAATTGTTTCCCTTAACCACTGAGGACAGGATAAGAAGCAATGGGCTTATATTGCAGCAAGGCAGGTTTAGGTTGGACATTAGGACAAGCTTCCTGTCAGGGTGGTTAAGCACTGGAATAAATTGCCTCAGGAGGTTGTGGAATCTCCATTATTGGAGGTTTTTATGAACAGGTTAGGCAAACATGTGCCAGGGATAATACTTAGTCCTGCCTTAGTGCAGGAGACTGGACTAGATGACATATCGAGGTCCCTTCCAACCCTACATTTCTATGATTTTGTTGTAAGTCTTGCAAAATGTTTGTTTCTTTAAAAAACAAAACAAACTTTCACATGCCCTTCCTATTCCTGGCTTCAATCTTGTTGTATTCCCCTTAGTCAGACTGCCAACAATGAAGCTGAAGCCAGGCCAGATGGCCACAATTTCCCTACACCCTCTGTATGTGGAAATGAGACTGCCCTAAAAAGATGGCCACCAACTACCTGGGTGGAACTGGAGCACGGGGACAGGGGGGAAGCGTTGGGTGGCCTGGAGCACGGTGAGGAGTCGGTGGGGGGTGGTTTGGGTTGGGTTGGGTGGCTTGGAGCACGGTGAGGAGTCGGGGTGGATGGCCTGAAGCACAGTGGGGAGTCGGGTAGGGTTGCAAACTTTCTAATTGCACAAAACCGAACACTCTTGCCCCCTTCCCCGATGCTCTGCCCTTTCCCTGCCCCTTTCCCAAGGCCGCACTGCTGCCCCTCCCTTTCTCCGAGGCTCCACCACTGGCAACGCCCCACAGCTCCCATTGGCCATGGTTCCTGGGTCACTCAGAGACCCCCTGGCTGCCCCTGCACCTAGGAACCGGACTTGCCGGCCGCTTCTGGGAGTCGCACAGAGCCAGGGCAGGTAGGGAGCCTGCCTTAACCCCGCATTGCTGCCGACTGGACTTTTGGCCTATTAAATCTCCTGGATTGATTTCAATAGCAACCAGCAGATTGAGGCTGATTCTGGGAGACTTCCGGCCAATCCGGGAGGGTTGGCAGCCCTACATGGGCATAGTAGCCTCGGGCAGACACAGAGCGGCGGGGGCAGGGGCAGGGGTTGTGCTTCGTGGCGGTGATCAGCTCCTCACCATGAAGCACAGCTCCTACTAGCGGCACCAGCCTCCTCCCAGGGTGGGGGGGCTGAGGGTGGAC